CTGAAAAGAACTGCACCTCACAGCATTGAAATGCCCTGGTCATTTTGTCATCATTGTTTTAGGTTAAGGCACTTTTATGTGATTATTAAAGTATTGTAAGTTGTTATCTGTTAGTGTTAGAAATGATAAAAGGGTTAATAAATAAATGTCTTGAAGGCTTCTTATTGTGGATTTAAAGAATGAGCTGCTTTCATTTTTTTGTTTATTCTGAAACGAAATGTCGTGTGAGACCACTTCAAGGGAGCGCCAAACATGCATTTGATGCCAGTTATAATACAGGATTACAAAAATTGAAGCAAACAAAACCTCTTTGGCCTTAAAGTGCTTCAAATTTAGGCTGACATTACGTTTTTTGAGAAGGCTAAAACACTCGTTTTGAGGTCACCCAAGCACTTCAAAAGAATTTGGAGGGTTGTGGGCGGAGTACTATCACGGCAAAATATGAGCCAAATCCCCTGCCATCATTGATCATTACGGACATTCGTTCTTGACATGGAAATCGAAAGATGACAACAACGATGCGAAAGATTTGTCCAAGACATTATATCTGATTCAATTTGAATTTGAAGTCGATTTTGAACTGCTTCTATAGCGCGAAGAGTTGACAGTCGCTCTTCTATCGACACGGCAGTCTGCAAGCCGAAATGTGTGGGGAAATGGCGTCGCCAAACGTCCAGGGCATCAGTCACCACGCCGAGAAGTATATTCGGGCTCATTCAAGGTGAGAATTGGACCCGTTTATACCTTCAGTGACAGTGGAACGTCAAATGTCTTTGGTTTCGTAGCGTTTTGCTTTCTACTTTTCTACTTCTGAACTTGATACGTGTACGGAAAATTCCATGAAATATATACTCGTAAACGGAGTCAAATAACCTAACACACATTCTCTCCTCTTTGCAACGTAGGAATATCTCCGATTCGCTACCGCATACGACTGAGGAGGGCTTCTTTACCTGGAGTGATCCGGTTAATCGCCTCCGATGTCAGTTTGAATCTCCGATGCTCCCAGTGGCGGTCCAACTTTGACAAGGTATTTTACTATATCGTGTGACAAGTAAACAGTTTGCTTTATAGCAGAATCGAAGTTCGGAACCAGTATTAAAGTTAAAGTAGACTTTGTGCCTCTTTCAGAAAATAGTGTTTTAACCACAAAGCAAAATGTTCAACTGAACCTGTCTTGTTCTAATTGTTTGTAATTTGGCATTCATGTAGTTGCAAGAATCTGGAACGGAATCGGGACATCTCTCAGCATCTTCCATGATCTTCTTGTTGCCTTCAACTACACGTCTCATGGAAAGCTTAATTGTTAAGGGATGAAAAAAAAAAGGTTAGTGATTTGTGATGTGATTTTGGACCTTTTGGAACATGCTTGAAACTTACGAATTCCCTTCTGTGTATCTGAGACATTGTCGACAGGGATAATCGCAGTTTCTTGGTTGTTGGCAAGGTGGTTGAGTTTGCTTTGGTGACATCCTGAGTGACATTGCTCAGGTTGGGGGTTGGGGCATTTTGAGGGTTTTGGCTCGTTTTGCACGCATGGCTTTAGTCTACTTCTGTGGGATACAGGTCCGATGTATGGCTGATTTGGTTTCTGTGACTATGCCGGGGGCTGGGATTGAGTTTGGAGTTGCTGCAAAGTTCAGTCCTCTAGAAAACGGAGACTTCCCCAAGTTCTGTTAGCCCGTGATTATTTACGTATCTTGTACTGCCTGACTTTCTTTCTGCATTATGTGATTGTCAGTGGGTCGGGAACCCTGACCATTACATAAGCTGCCTTGTGAAGGAAATAATGGGGCGGGGTGGGGTGGGGTGGTGGTGGATTATCTGGTTCTGGGGTATCCGTTAGTCTTGAGATCCCGAACCAAGACTTCGGCACAGGGCCAGAAGGGAAGACAGGAAGATGAAGTGCCTAAGTGATCATGAGCTAACAGAACTGCGGAAGTCACTGTTTTCTGGAGGACTAAACTTTGTAGTTACCTCTGAGCGCAATTCCGGTCGTCAGCGTGGGTACAGAAGCTGATCAGGCCAAGCGTTGGACCTGGTTGCCACAGGAACGGGTTGAAGCACTGTGTGCAGAAGTAACCATTGCTCTCAAAGTGTCCTAATCTCCACCAGCACCGTCACAAGGGCTGTTGTCAACATTCTCATTACGCCTTGCCGATAACCAAGTGATTGTGATTCTCCCCACCGCTAATGCCTCGGGTAGACAGAGGGGATTGTTAATAAATGCTGTTAATTGAACTAAAGTTGCATCACAGATCGTTAACGCCCAGCCAATAGCCCAGCACCAGCATCATTCCTCTGCAGGAAGAATTTATATTTCCCAAGAACTACCGTAGGCTGGAACTCGTTGCTACCAAGTACAGTTGGGGCATCATCACTAGAAATCTTTAAACAACTCCTGCAATTAAATGTGCAAAGATTGAGTGTAACAAGTCGTTCGGTGTGATATAGCCAGCTGCCGCCACGCCGAGTGCCTGGTAAGCTGGTGTGTTACGCCAAATGGCGGTTATACTGGCTATACCGATACAGACACAGATATATGTAAAGTCAAACGAAGTTACTGTTAATGCTCTTCATAGAATGCACATTGTATCATTTTACAGCCATTATGTATGATGTGTATTAGACAAGTGTTGCTCAGGTTAAACCAGTTCAAAACCAGGTCAGATAATCACTGGGAGAGACGAACGTACGCAGTATAAGTGAAGACCAGGACACAACAGGCTGACGAGAATTTCTCCTGAAGAAGTGTCGT